GGATGCAGAATGAAGCTGGCAACCTTACGTGGCACGCACGCCAACACGCAACCAACGCACACACGCAGGCACACACACACACCGGCGCGCACGCACAAGAAAACACGCACACACACACACACACACATGCATGCAAGCACACAAGCAAACACCTGAACACACACACACAAACACATAAACACCCACAGACAAACACACGACGGCGCACACACACACAAGCACACACACAACCACAGACACAAGCACACAAGCACACAAGCACACAAGCACACAAGCACACAAGCACACAAGCATAAGCAAACAAACAAACAAACAAACATACATACATGCAGGCACGAACAAACAAACAAGCAGGCAAGCAAGCAATCAAGCAAGAAAGCAAGCACACAACCAACCAAACACACAGACAAAAAAACAACAGACAGAGACAAACACCAAAGAGACAATCACACAACCAGCCAACAAGACAACCGCACAACCGACCGACCGAACGACCAACCAACCAACCAACCAGCCAAACACCACAAGCAAGCAAGAAAGCAACATCAAGCAACCAAACAACCACCCAACCAACCAGCCACACGAACTGCCGTCGCCGTTCTTGCAATCTTGTTGCATAGCGCGCCGGAGACGCTGTAGAGCAGCTTGTGCAACTGCCTGCTAACCTTCTTGTACTGTTTCTTCATCAGTCGAGGCTTCCGTCTTTCCACAAAAGGAAACAGCAAACAAACAAGCAATCAAACAAACAGAACAGACAAGCAAACAAGCAAACAGACATATACAAGCAAACAAACTGAACTTGGCAACATCTACAACTACAGCATTTTCTGCGTCGCATGGTCCAAGAAACACACGCGTGCCATTTTACGCTGAGGAGTTATGTGTTGCGTATCCTTGTCTTTGGCCAATGGTGCAGCAAAGGCTAACGTGCTGCTAAGAACATCAGGAACTTAGCGGTTGCAAGAGCCACTTGGAGAGCTTGAGATCCAAATTCCCACTTTGCTTCGATAGACGACATCTCAGAGGATTTTGCCTTGCTTTTGCGTCGTTTGCCAAACTCAACACACTCCACCAGCAGCAGCGCGTGCATCTGTGGCCCTATTCATGTTGTGGCTCCTTTTGTTGCATCGCGTTACCACACAAGACAGTTCCTACAGCCACTATAGCATCTAATCAAGTCGATTGAGTTGCCTTGAACCCACATGTCACTGATGGCTGTTTTACTCGATTGGTGCAGACTTGTTGCAGATGTTCAATTTCGAGCGAGTATCCAGGTTGCCATCACTGGTGTCCTACCAAAGATCGCGCCGAAAAAGGAGAAGGAGGCGCGACCCAATCGGAGGCTTGAAAGTATCTACATCAGACCTTTCTTTTCTTCAACTGCCAGTATCAGAGCCATGAATGTGATAGTTTATTCAGACCTTGCTGCATGTAGTGTGTGTGTGTTCGCCATGTCAGTCCAGTCAGACCAGCAATGACACCGAAGAAGTTGACGTGGATGCAGAATGAAGCTGGCAAACCGTACGAGGCACGCACACACGCACGCAACTGCAAACTCACACGCACGGGCACACACGCACAAGCAAAGACACACACACAAATACATACATGCACAAACACAGACAGAGACAGACAGACAGACACAGACACAGACACAGACACAGACACAGACACAGCCACAGACACAGCCACAGACACAGACACAGACACAGAGACAGAGACAGAGACAGAGGCAGAGACAGAGACAGAGACAGAGACAGAGACAGAGATGCATGCAAGGGACGCATGCAAACACATGACTTACACTTGCGCTTTTTTCTTGCACGCACATGACCGAGTAGCGCAACCAGTGTAGAGCCAGCGCACGCGACTCGCCAGCAAGCTGTGCGTGCCAGTCGGACTCAGGCTGAAGAGGACGCGGTGCCGAAGCTTACGTTGAAGGATTTGTAGAGGCGGATGGGACTTCGGGACGTTTGAGGCCGTTTGGCGCTTGACCTAGGGATATCGTATGCTCAGGAATGTTTTGTTGGAGACACTGTGCTGTGTCTCAGCCTGAAAAAGCTCTGCTGGCAGCGATCTGGATTGCCCATGCCTTGAGGAGTGGCAGATGCTATGAACATGCAGTTTGCATGTGCAAGTTGACAGGTATTCTTTTGCTTGCAGGCTTTGGCTGAACTTAGCTGACAGTGGCAGCGACGCGTGTTGCGCGCTTGGTTCTGTTTGTGGCGACTAGACAAGTCTTTTGTCATGGCAAGCTTTGCGCAGGATCTGTCCTTGTTCCCAAGATAGCCGGATGTCAGGCTGTGATCGCCTAATTCAACTGCACGCGTGGTTTTCAGACACAGACGATGGCGCAGATCATCGAGTGAAGATGTTTTCGGAAAGGATCTCAGCGCAAATATGTGCAGATCCCATGTTTGGCAATCGAGTCTGAGGTAGCCGGACACCTGCAAGTTTCTCACGTGCTTCCAAGACCAGCGTTCGAACAGGCGGCATCAAGCATGATGCGGCCGCAACTTTTCCAATGTTCTACTGTAAATTATACGTTGAAGATGGCGTTTTTGTGGCCTGCGGTATGCTGGTTTGCGCATCTCTCACGCATGTCATGTGCCGATTCAGATCCATGGCAAGCGGAGCCGCTGCAGCTTTGCCTGCCCAGGCGGGCCTTGCCATGGCGCTGAATTGGCCCGGCGCAATCGAACGGTCCTTTGGCCCCAGCTTGTACAGAGGCCTTGGAGCGCTTCTATGCGGTGCATCAGCTACAGTGCATCAGATGCCCCATCGAAACTCTTCTCGAAGAAGAACGCAAACTACAAAACTATTGAACACACAAACATATGAGGATCGACCAAAACCCCCTTTTGTTTTTTTTTGGTAGGGGCTGAATACGAAAGCATATTCGGTGTTACGGCGCTGCGGTTGCGGAAGGCCGCGGAAGGGCGAGCGGAAGTTTCGCGGAGGGTTATGTGTTTAATCCTGTATCAGGTTGGAAGGCTTGGGTTTACAGGCTTCATTCTGCAAGGAGAGTATTGGATCATGCGGGGCCTTTTGGCTCAAGCATGATCCAAACTGGCTAAATTTTAACTTCTGGTTTGCGGGTTCGGCAAGTGTTACTTGTCGAATGTTGGCAGTTCCAGGAGTTGACTTTGCCGTGCACACGGATCGTCCTATCCTGTCCACAGGCGCCTACCTCGACTTCAAGCGCCATGTGGGCAACTTGCTGGAGCAGGGGAAGCATGGCGAGGCCCGGATGCTCTGGCTTTCGGCTGTGGAAGTGTTGCATGCCCCTTTCGTGCAAGCTCCCCTGCCCTTGGTTGATAGTGGGGAGATACCCCACCTGCAATTTGCGCCCTGCATTGATGCCCAGTGTGCGAGATGTGATGGGTCCCTTGGCGGCTTCAAGTTCCCGTTCATTGGCACCTGGTGCCGGCGTGCAGTCTTGGCTCAAGAAGGCGTATCTGCAGAGGAGGCTTGGACCGCCTACCATGGGTGCTATGAGGAGGATCTCCTGTCTGAGGCCATGGTGGCTGAAGCAGGCAGTGGCCTCCGCGCCCAGGACATCATCCCGATGTATGTCTCCGCCATTGCGGGCCGGGTGGAATCTGGCGACCTCCCCTTCGTGTCCTTCAGGGGCTTCATGGGGACCTGGAGGAGATGGAGGGCGCTCGGAGGTGGACCGAGCCATGGCCCAGGGAGAGCGACTCCCTGGCCAGAGCCACAGCGGGGAGGCTTCTCCGTGGGTGGCTGGACGAGGGCAGGAGGAACCTCCCTCTGGGCGGGCTTTGCGCCTACTGCGGATGCAGGACTCACTCTGTGTGCGCTTCATGTGGCATCCATCAATGCGAAGCCTGCCCCATCCGCTGCTGCCAAGGCTCTACGCTGGGGCGCTGCTCTTAGCCATGGTCGCGGTGATGCCACTCCTGGGCGCTATGCCACCGAAGCCATGGAGCACTCCGGGGGCGACCCGGGCGGCTCTGGCGAGGGGCTGATGTCTCGTGTCCAGGAGGCCAATGTTCGAGCCTTTCGGCAGAAGCACGGGCTGCTGCAGGACTCCGACTTCGGCTTCGCCTTTGAGGCCTTCGAGGATGCAGTCCGCGCGGGTGGCCACTTCGTCGCCGCTGAATGGGCGCGGGTGCGGGCGGAGCAACAGGCCCACCTCCTCCCAGCAGGTGCGGCAGTGGTGGAGGTGGACCCCTGGCGAGTGATGCCGGTGGGGCCATCGACCCTCCGTCGGCCGGCGGTGCGGCTCCCCACCAGCAACGTGGGCCTGCGGTTGAGGCAGAACCCGGACAACGCCGAAGCAGTGGCCCGCAGGGTCAACCTGCTGACGGAGGCCTTCATGAAGCTGGGAGTCCTTCGGCCCCGGAGGTACGACAACCCGGATCGCTATGCCGACTGGCAGCAGGCGGTTCGGAGGCTGGCTCAGGAGCGAGTCACCCAGTCCGAGGCGACCACGATCCTGAACGCGGTGAGGACTTTCCAGGAGCTCTCGCTCTTCCTGGCAGCCAGGGGCGTGCAGGATTCGGAGGAGTTGGACTTTCACGCCTTCCTTGAGCAGGCTATGTCGCCATCGCGAGCGCTGCAGTCATTGCGCTGGCTGTCCAACAACGGCAGGTTGCAGTGGCAGCTGGACCGCCTGAAGCCCCCCAAAGTTATTGGGAAGGTGCGCAAGGCGAGGTCCCAGGCTGTGGTGGTGGAACCGCCCATGCTGCTCACCCTGGAGGGCCGGATCATCGAGATGCAGCAAGCCCGAGATCCAGCTTGGACAGCAGCGCTGTCGTCGTGGCTCGTGGCTTCGGGTTGCCTGCGCTACAAGCACTTGTGCTTGTCCACGCCGGTGAAGGTCAGCAGGGAGTTCTTCCACGGCCACTGCCGCAAAGGGAAGCAGTCCCACAACCGGCAAGGATTCGACTGGTGTGCACCAGCTCGTTTCTCCAACGGTTGGCCTGGAGGACTATCAGGGGCTAGCGCCGGAGCAGCACGACAAGTGCGGCATCTGCTTTCACCCAGCCTCTGGCCAGGCGTGGCCCATGAGAGTGACTCAGCACCTTTTCCATGGCGTGGTGGAGCCCCTCGAGCAGCTCACCAGCTATTCCTGGAGGAGATTGCTGCCGACGGTGGGCTCTTTGATCCGCCTTCAGGATGCGGAGATCGTTTCCCTGGGAGACTGGCAGGACAAGGTCGAGGAGCGTGTTGCGATGCCGTTCCACTACAGTGGCGGAAAGTACGCCTTGTCCATGCGTACCAAGATGAGAGCCTTCCTCGTGGCGGCCAAGGTTGCGGACTGCGAGGCCTGGATGAGGAGGCCAAGATCAAGGCCGCTCAGGCTTGCCGAGGGGACACAGAGGTGATCTGGGCCCAGGCACCGCAGACCACGGCGCTGAAGCGGCGTTTCTCCCTGAGCCAGTCGCTCGTGCACAGCGCCCGTGAGCGAATGAGGAAGCCGGCTCCATCGGCCAGGGCCATGCCAGCCAGGCTGGGCGAGATCTTCCTCACGGGGCATCTGAAGAACGGTACAGCGTTGTGCCCGGACTTCAACACAGGCGAATGCCGCCAGGACCCGTGCGCAAGGGAGCACTTGTGCGCGATGTTGCAGCAGACGGGCAGGGCGTGTGGAGGACGCCACCCGGCAAGCGAGTGCCGAGCAAAGCGGCGCATGACGGAGGCGAAGCTTCGCGAGCTGGGGCTGCCTGTGCCGGCTGACCCTGTGGAGGTGGGGGCGACCCGCCCCGCAGGGGCGCCATCGGAGGCGCTTTGCCACCGCCGCTGCCAATCGCCGCCCCGGCCGGGCCCATGCATGTCATCCAGACCGTCGGCCGAGGAGCTCCGCGAGGCCGCAGCAGCCAACCGCGTTGTGGAGGTCGAGGATGCGGAGGTCGGCGAAGTTCCTGCCTCGGTGGATACCAGGCGCCCGGCAGAACCAGCCGAGCTCCCGGGCAACTTCTTGGAGATCCCGGAGTGCCTGGATTTGAACCCAGCTGACAGCAAATGGGACCGGTTGGCGACCGTGCGGGGGAAGTCCGCCCAGACCCCATCGCTGCTCTACAACAACGTGCGGGGAGGAGCCCTCTTTTTGGCGGGCATCCCCACGGCCCTCACGGCCGCAGCCTTTCCAGCATGCAGCCTCCAGGTGGTTTGCTTCCCGGAGAGGCTGGCCCAGCGGCAAGGTGTGCCCTTGTCCGGGGCTCACGTGGAGTACTTCGCCATCGCCCACGCCGACCGACGGCAGGAGGACTGGGACAGGGTGTGGCCCCTGGTGCGGCGCTCGCTCTATCACGGAGACGTCGTCATCGTCCACTGCATGGCGGGGCGTCACCGAGCCGCTCTTGCTGCGGCGATGTGGCTGGCGATGCTGAAGGGAATCAGCCTGGCGGACGCGGCGGGGGAGATCAGGAGATGCCGCGATGTGGAAATCACCAAGACCCTGCAGGACCGCAAGCTGGCCGGATGGGTGCACCAGGCGCTGGCGGGCTCATCAGCAGGTGCGTCTGAGCCGGAGTGCACCGGTTTCATGGCCACTGCGAGGAGCCAGGTCCACATCAGCACGGCCAAGGGATACCCGCTATGCCAGCACAAGCAGGCGGCGCGCCGAGCTGACCGTCTGGCCTATCCGCTGACCACCTCGGACAAGTTCGAGGCCATCGCATGGGAGCAGCGCTTTTGCCGGACTTGCCTGAGCAAGTGCCCGGCTAGTTTCCTCCCCCAGTGAGCCAATTTTGGCCATGGGCGCCGGATTCGGGCTGCCCGAATTTAGTCCCCCATTTTGCACGCCATAGGAGTGCCGCGGGGCATTTGCCTGACACATTCTTCCGTGTGGAAAACGGGAGCGGCAGTACCAGGCAGTGGATTGCCTCGACATGCATGAGTCACGGAGCATAGCCAGTCGACCATGTGGCATTCGTTTTTCAAACAGTTTCAACCGATTTACCATGCACCGTGGCAGGCACCCTGGGGATACCAGGGAGGAGGCCGGGGGGCGTTACCTCCCGTACGGCCGTCGGTCGCGGCATGCGGAGCTACCGGCGAGTGCACGCCAGGGGTCATCCTCCATGCAATTTTTAACAGTTGAGGGTTAGGTTGATTTCGGTCATGTGTCCCCTCCGTTCCCCCCCCCACTCATGTGTTTGGGGAGTCAGTTGAGGCCCAAGTAATTATTGACACCTGGAAATCGCATGGCGACTTCCCTTGTCCCGTCAGACGGAGCCGATTGCCTGGACAGGCTCGGCAAGAATTTTCAATTGGCAGCGGAGGTAGTGGGAGCGCTTTCCAAGGCGGGCATCGCCAATTTGGAAGAATTCCGCTTTTTCTTCGATGCCGAGGCCAAGGTGGAACCTTGGCTTGGGAAGATCCAGTTGGGAGCGGAAGCTCAGATCCAAGCGGCCAGATTGCGGAGAGCCTGGCATTCGGTCTCGTTGTACTACAAGACCGCCGAGCAGGACCGCTCGCGAGTCGCCATTGAGGACCTCGATTCCCTTCTCGGGGACACCGAGTTGAGATCCG